GTCGCACGGGAATAGCGTGCGGCTCTTCTTGTTTCGCGCTTTCGCCTATAACTTCTTGCTGGGATGTCCGTTCAAGCTGAGATTTGACCCTTAGGGGTTATTAACCGTGTCGGATCCAATGGTGGTGGTCTCACAGCAAATTGAGATACCAAAAGTATAGCTCTAATTATAGGGTCCGTTTTAGGGTGCTAGAGGCTGATTCTACCGAAACTGTTTATTAGTCTGCTCTGCCTTAGACATGTCAAAATGTGACAAAACTTGGCAGGAGACTTTTGAGAGTCCTTATAAAGATGCCGGTTCTGGGGCTATTATGAGACTGTCAGAATTTCTACTGTTTGTTAGGCTTTATTGACCTAGAACTCATGATGATGAAAAATGTCGTCCAACAGCCGGGAAAGAAAAATTTATGGCAAGACATTTTCCAGATCCGGACGAGGTAGGAGAGTTGGTTCTAGAAAGAGAAAGTGGAGAAGTGAAAATTAATTATGAAGAAGCTAAGGCAAGAGATTGGAGTAGTCCCCCATTAGTTGGTTATTTCCTAGGAAACAAGAGGGCCCGTTTGGAGGTGCAAGGGAAAGATGGACATTTTGGAATATGATACAAAGCGCTTCGTGTTCATTTGTTTCCAAAAGGAGGGAGATTTGAACCGGCGGACTGGCCGGTTCAACCGGTCTAATGGGCAGGTCCTAGCCAGTTCAAAAAGTATAAAAAATATAAAAAAAATATGGAAAATATATTTAAAGCATGATTAAACAAAGAACATTCAAATAAAGTTGAAAAGTAGTAAAAAAAATAGATTTTAAAATATTGATTTATGCAAAGGTGTGTTTTTGAATTTTTTTGATATTTGTGAAATTTTTTTAAGTAAAATATAAAATAAATATTTGTGGCCAAAAACACTTTCCAATCTTTACCAAAATAATAAAAAAAACATTCAAAATACATTACAAATAAATCCCTTATTTTTTTTTTGAAATTTTATACCTTTTTTTTTTAAAATACGAGAGTATTAGAAGACCACGATATAAGAAGACCACAGTTTACATAAGCCAAACACGAACTTTATCCAAAAATGGCGAACGCAACAAATGACCTAACGGCACGAGTTGCTATCTCGTCATGACCAATTAGTAACGGGATAAGTGGCTATCTCGTCATGACCACTTAGTAAGGGGATAATAACAAACAAAAACATAGTAATAAACAGATTTTATTGCAAAAAGTCAGATGCAAAAAACTGGGTAAAAAATTCGGATCCCCAAAAATTAGGTAAGTTAAAGAATCATAAATATTTTAAAAATTTGGCCAAAAAAATAGAGTGAAAAATTGGATGTAAAGATAGCTCAATATGTGATTATCATTATTGTTATTATATGGATACATTAAAACCATTGAACTACGATTTTTATATCCCTCCATAGGATGATTAGATTCATACTTGGCAAATTTTTTTCTAAATTTTCAATAAACACAACATGAATGCTTATTCTGTTATCACGACACAAAGTGTATAATATATTTATTATGAGCATTTAATACAACAATAACAATAATACTAAACATAAGAACTATATTAGCAAAGAACAAAAACGACAACCCAAGGTATGGGATTATTATACGAACAAAAAAAAAAAATGGCCCTCGGTATAGAATTGCATTAAACTAAAACACAAAAATTTAAAAATGTAAAATAGTGGTCCAACTAAATTGTTATGTTATATACACTAATGTGAAATAAAGAAAAATCGAAAAGGTGAAATTAGTCAAACTTCTACATGCATAAAGAAAGAAACAAAATCCTTAAGATAATCTAAAAATTCAAAGCTCACTCTGAATTCGTAGCTATCTAAATCTTTAGTTGTAACTAAATCTCTATTTTGCTCTTTATAATGAGGCTCTCTATTACGGTTCAAGGAACATTGAAATAATGTTAATTATCTTTTAATTTTGGAAAACGTTTATATAAGGTTGCAAACTTATATTATAGAAATGAAGTATACCTCAAAGATCCAGTAGAAATAGAGTGTTATAAAGTTGGAAAACTTTCAAATTAATCATCTTGATCTAGAGATGTATAGATATCAAGACAATAAAGAATTTCAAGTCCTATAAATAGTATATCTTGTAACAAGTAATTTGAACCATCTATTTTCAATATTTTCAAGTGTTCATAGGTCCATTTGATCTGCAACATTATTAAAAATTTAAATTTCATAATTAATCATCATCATTATCATAACCTTTTCCCAAAGTTATTGGGGTCTGCTACGTGAATCCTAGTTCGTCAGTCTGCTCTAATAAATGTCATACTTTCAGTGAAGTCATAAGTCCCCATATCTTTTCTGACTACTTCCAACCACATCCTTTTGGGTCTACCTTTTACACTTTTCAGTTATTTTACTTGAACTAACTCGCACCTCCTAACAGGTACTGAACTTGGTCAGTGCTACACATAGCCAGCCCACCAAAGTCTATTATCTCTCATCTTATCACCTATTGGTGCCGCACCTAAATTCTCCTTAATTGATTCATTTCGAATTCTATCCCTTCTTGCTTTGCCATTTATCCATCTCAATATCCTTAATCCACTACACTCATTCTATAGGTATATTGTTTTTTGTCTGCTCAATATTTCACCTCATAGAGCAAAGCTTATCTCACAATTATCATATAGAACTTGCCCTTAAGTTTCATTAGTATGCAACAATCACATAAAATTCCAGTTGCACATCTTCAATTCGCCTACCCAGCTTTAATTCTCTATGCGACATCTTCATCAATCTCTTAATTTTTCTGAATTATCAACCCAAGATATTGAAAGTGCAATCTTTTTGTGCTTCTTGGCCGTCAATCTTACCTACTTCCTTGTCTCTACTCTTAATATTACTAAACTTGCATTCCATATACTCTGTTTTAGTTTGGCTAATTTTAAAACCTTTGGATTCTAAGGCATCCCTCTAAAGTTCTAACTGTGTATTGACGCTGTTTTGAGTCTCATCGATCAAAACTATACATCTGGGAACAACATGCACCACGGTACCTCATCCTATAGGTGCCTAATGAAGTCATCATAAGGTTTCTAACACTGGAGCTACATCTTCTAACAAAAATATAAAGATGCACCCTACTTGTTACTATAAGGTAGGCACCTTACACAAACTTTACTCCTAGGTTTTTCTTCTTTGGGTGTGGTTTCCATAAGGTTGCAACCTTAAACAATCCAAATTTTATTATAACATATAATTTTGATGTAAAATATTATTAGGATTATCTCAAAATCTATTTTCATATCTAATTGTAAAATTTTAAAATATATATATATATATATATATATATATCGAGCTAACGGAGGCGACTGTCAAAGCCGAGCACTTCCATTGTTGGATTGGGCGACGCGGGCATTCAAGCGACACAAGCAGCGATCAAGCAAGCGAGTGAAGAGCTTAAGTCCTATTGTCCTTAAGCGACTTAACGAACGATAGGACTTCTATTGTCAGTTTGGCTACGAGAAAACACGAGTTAATACGGCTAAAATAGGTTAGGTTACCATTAGTGTCTCTTAATTCTTTTTTGGAAGCAAAAGGAGAAAGAATTGGTTCTCCCTTCCTGAGGGGTATGGGGTTTTTAAGGTTGCAACTTTATATAAATTTTTTCCTTTTTTTTTAACTTCTTTGTTTTCTATTTGTACGCCGATCCGATCTGACTTGAAAATCACGTGATATGGAATCAGAATCCAATGGTTTATTCAGATTCCAGTTTTTCTAACACAATTGAAAGAGGATAGATTTGGATGGAATTTCGTAGTGGTGCGGTTCTGGAGTCACACATTCTTTCTGATTTAATCCAACGGATAGGAATCCCCAAATATATGAGAACAAATAGAATTGTTTAACTTTTATTCATGTCAATGGCGTCAACCGGTGACACCATGTGGTTCTCGAGGCGACGTACTGAGGCTTTAACGGACGGTCCAGGCTTATTTTCCAGGGCGTACCATGGTAGTGGCGGCGATTATCGCCCCACCGCTTTGTCATTGGAAGAGACTTCCAATAATTTACTAGTTCCATAAAATATTATAATAATTACGCGGGTCGGCGTAATGTGTCTTTTTTTGAAGTGATTATTTTCCCATTTCAGAAAGCGAATTTTTGGGGGAGTTGAAAGTCTCAGACCCACGGTAAAAACTCACGAAAGTTAAACCTCTAATTAAATGAAAAAAGTTTATAGAGAGCCAAGGCCCTAAACAACAATCAAATTAGAACCCACTTCAACAATTTCACTTGTTTTGATGTCCAAATATCCTCAATTTGATCATCTCGACATCGAGATAGATGCATGTACATGACATGACAAAAAAAAGTGGATTTCAAGATTTGAAAATAATGCATATTGTAATGTAATTTTGGACGGTCAATTTTTTAGATTTTTATAAATATTTTTGATCGACACTATTTTTGAAACTCTAAATTTGATAGTTAAAGATGGAAATATATTTGAAAGCTATAACAAAGATTTCTAATATTGAAACTACATTTCTAAATACTATTTAAAAGTGCGATTTACTTTGATGGTTAAGAACCTGGGTTCTATACAAACTGCATCAATTTTTGTGCATGATTTGTACGGTCCAAACAAATGGGCGGCATATCTTTGTTGCAGCCGTATTTCAACAAATAGGGCTGCAGCCTTATCAAGACCGCATCCTTTTCAAGCTCAAACAAATTGGTTGATGTAATTTCCTAAAGATTGATGCTCACTTTCTGAACAGTCATTTAAACTCCCTTGTTTTCTCAGAAACTTCCATTTCCTTCACTTTTCAAACCCATTTATGTTCATCATTTGACATGAAATAGCACTGTAAACTGACCGGAGCAAAAGCGGCTTGAAAACGCATTTTATGTTAAGCAACGATGCCACCTGCTCTACTTCCGCTTTACGCGTTCCAAAGCTCCAATTTAGCACACCTAACCTCAATTTTATTTCAAAAGAAGGTCCAAAGATTTAGACTTTCCTCTGCTACTTACCAAAGAAGACAATAAAAATTGCAAATATATAGACTTTCTCACACTTTGTCAACTTAGAAAATTTCTTGGAAATCAATCTATAATAGGCGTATTAACTTTTTGTTCTATCATTGATTAATAATTTGTGGGGTATCTAATTATTATTATTATTGAAAGTGATTTTCTGATAAAAATGTAGCTCCTATCTCTGTTATCTTTCTCAACACGGAAATGAGGGTTTACTGTAGGAAAATTTTCCTTTTTATATTGGCTAATTTATGTGTTTCTTCTATGTTAAGTACTTAATTAATTTGGTAGCTATAATTTTTCTCTCTCTATATATAGAACTGCAATTCTTGTTAAATGTTGCTCACTTTCTGCAAATTAGTGTTGTTTGAGGTAAGCATGCTTTCTGTCTTCTCTATGAGAACATGGTTTCTTTCTTATCATTGGGTGAAATGTTTTAAAGGTTATATATAGTTGAGAAAATTGCTTCTTGCTCTTTTGGTATTTGGATTTTGAACTTGTTAGAAACTTAGAGCTTGTTCCTTTCTTATTTTGAGTTATTCAAGATGAAATAGTAATTCTAAAATTAGTAATTGTGTGAAGCACTTAATTGGAGCAGTTTGTAGTTGCTGATATTCGATTGACCTGTTTCAAGTTTGTTGTGTTATATTGAATTCGATTCGATGATCGTTCTTGGTCTGCCTTTCACTCTCCGTTTTTTTTCTTGGGGTGATCTTAGGTGAGTCTTAGACATAAAATTTCGTAGATTACTAGTATATAGACACAGAATAAAGGTATTGAGCTCCAAGAAGTATTTTGTCTATTCTTGTTTGCACTCTGGGTAAAGATTATTGTAGTTGTTTAAAGAAGCAGAAAAATTGAGTTAATGAGATGAACTTATGGTGCCATGAAAATGAACTCTATTCCACAAATTGCAGATTCCTATTTTGCAAGGTCGTCAATGAATCTCAAACTCCCATGTACAAGAAGAGCTGTGTATAAGGGGTTTTGGCATTTCCATGAATTGATATGAACTTGTCTTCCTAACAAATTGCAGTTGCTTTTTTTTTTGTTTCATTTTCTGTCAAATTGTTGCAAGTAATCCGAATTAGAAGAACTTGCAATGACTTGAATCATGTATCGATTTTCAAATGTTTTAGGCTTGATATTCCAATCCACGGTATATGGATATGGAGTTGCCAAAATGATTAATTGATGGTTTCAGTGGCTTCTAACCGAATAATGAAACTGTAAGTGATTAATTGAACTGAGGATTGGTGTGGCTATGCTTTTGATATGGAAAACACAATGATTTTAGTGTGAGTTTGCATGAACTGCACCTAAGCCCGATGTTGTATTACTCTCTGTAATAATTTGTATATCATGGCGTTTCTGTAACTGTACTTTTCTTGTTTCACTCCTAATGTTATTTATAGGTAATCCCTTGTTATCTTCTTTTTGTATTTTAGTTACATTTGTCAGTATGTGATGGTTCTATCAACTGTATGTTTTGGCAGCGCCATGTTAATGGCTTTATTTGTGCAATATCATAACTCAATCTTTCTTCCATCTGAGAAATTTTGGCTTGAGTGTGAGTCTGATTGCAAGTGACATGAGCAAGTTATTTTGAATCATATCCTTCTGATATAGCTTTCCTCTTAGTTCTTCTACAGTTGATGCCGTTGATTAATTTGTACACTCTAGATGACGTTTATATCCTTATATGTATCAACTGGTGACGAAATGGTCTATTGTTCCACTTGTTGGGTAGTAGACCAATATGTGTTATTTTCACCCTTTTCAAAAGTTATGTTATGATGAATTTCACACTAAATTAGTTTCCTCTGGAATATACAGGGGCTGATTGTTGCAGGCTTGTAGAAAATTGTCAACTACGTTGAGTCAGTTGACAACAGCCGAATTGATTTTGAGAATTAGTTACCAAGAACCAATTGGTGACTTAAAGCATTTGAAAGCAAGAACACAGATTATGGGGGGCAAGCAATCCACAAGCTCGCAAAGGCACCAATCTTCACCTTATGATTGTGCATCATCCTCATCATGGGGTTCTAAGGAGAATAATCGTGACTCAGTCATGCAAATGCCATCTGACATGAGAAACAGAGTACAAGGAAGATATTCTCACATTGCCGATAACTACCAATCACTTGGGCAGGTATCATGATATGGAAAAGGAAAGTGCTATCCAATAGACTATGGTACATGGTACTCCAAAGAGGCATTCATAATGTGTTTGGTATGATGGATGGTTGATCATTGAGCAGTTGCTCATGTTCCAGCTGGCCCACCACATTTAGGCTCCTCTGTTCTTCACTAGGAATGAATGGTGGATGTGCTCATAAATGTCCCATAGGATTATTGCTTTCCTTATGACATCTATTGTCTACTATAAAGTGAAGGTATCCATATTCTGGAATATACTTCTCCTATGTGTCTAAGGAAAACCAGTATAAACACCACACTGGTTTTAGAGATGATTGTCAATTTTCACAAGACACAAGCACTACACATAGGGGAAAACTGGATGATGGATGGTGATTACATTAGTTTTACCCAATTAGTGTAAAAATAGACAGAAGAAATGCTAGCCATAAGCTTCAATGTTCTTCAATTAAAGAAACCTATGCAAGGTCTAGCTCTGTGACTTCTTCTTCTCGCTGGGCATTTCCTTTGATTCAATAGAATCTTCTCAAGTTTGAGTTCTAATTTGCAGTTGGAATTCCAAATGTGGGTTTTACAATGAACTAAAGGGTATCTGACCTGTTTTGGATCCTTAGAATTCATTGTTTCATTTTTTGTTTTTTTTTGTCGAAAAAGCTAACGTGGTACCTTGGTGAGAATGGAAATCTAGAAGTCATGTTGTGGCAACCTGCCACCTTGACGACCCAAGCAGAGTACGTTCCTACTCAGAATTCTGATTTTTTTAGTCAGAGGTCATAGTTTTAGATCTTTGATCTTCAATTCACAATTATTTATCTAGTTTTAGATCATTATCATTCTCAACTTTGAATACATACTGAGGCTGGGTCTATCTCATCAAACAATCATAAACTGCCATCTCTGAACATATTTAGCAAATTGGACATGTATATTTTTTATCCTTGACACAGGTGACAGAGGCACTAGCCCATGCTGGTCTTGAGTCTTCCAATCTGATTGTAGGCATCGATTTTACAAAAAGTAATGAATGGACCGGTATGTGCTGCGAGACTTGTCTTAGATGAATCTTCATTTCTATAGGACTTAATAAGTGATTATTGGAAACCACTTTCTTTCAGGTGCAAGATCATTCAATCGCCGTAGCTTGCATCACATTGGAAACACTCCCAATCCTTATGAACAAGCAATTTCCATAATTGGACGAACCTTATCTGCTTTTGATGAAGATAACCTGATCCCTTGTTTTGGGTTTGGAGATGGTTAGTAACATGGCAGTTTTGTTGTGATATTTGTTTTGATTCTTCAATATGATTGGATTGTTTTTCTATATTGGAAGTGGCTTAATTATATGGTACCTTTGATCTGTGGTGCTCTCTTTCATTCTTCCAATGGATTGAGTCTCTTTCTTTTTTCTTAAATAGATTCTCTGTACCGTTGCCTACTGCTAATGGGAATTGTTATTCTCTTTCCTTTTTTGGCAGCAACAACCCATGACCAGGATGTGTTCAGTTTCTATCCAGATGAGAGGATGTGCAATGGATTCGAGGAAGCTCTGGGACGTTATAGAGAGATAGTTCCAAATCTTCGATTAGCTGGTTTGTTTCAAACATTTAACATAAGGCAAACCATAGTCTGTAAGGGTCATTAACATCCAGTGAAATGATGTAACATAGTTGATAGAAAGTAGGACCCACCATTGGATTCATGTGTTGTTCTGGTTGGTCTCACTCTCTCTACATCACTGTCCATTCATTGAACAGTGACGAGCCTGACAGAATATGTTTTGTTCAGTCCATTGGATTGTAGTGTCTGCTCCCTTAAATTATGTGTTTCCTAGGTTATTAATTAGGGTAACTTATTTTTGTCACAGGGCCAACATCCTTTGCACCAATAATTGAATCAGCTGTGAATATTGTCGAGAAGAGTGGTGGACAGTACCATGTTCTTTTGATAATTGCTGATGGACAGGCAAGTCACTTTTCTAGTGGAGCTCTGAAAGCCATACACTTGTTTTCTCTGTTTTATGACTTAGAGGAAGGTTATTAACCATATTTAATGGCCAAAATTCATTTCCAGTTTTGTCTGGAGTTGATGACATTGACAATTTCAGTTTTTTTATTTTCTTTTAGTATTGCAATGTGGGGAGCTTTTCTGAATTATGGCCGGCATTTATCAAGTTTCAGCAGAAAACAATAACAAAATCTAAATCCAGGCCATGGTTTCTGAATGACAAAACTACTGAAATTTGCAAATCGAAGCCTTCTGTAGTGTGTCCTGTCTGAGCTGATGATTAGCTTATCTTTTGTGGGCAAACTCTGTTTATTCTCATTTCTTGGGTAGTTAGCGTTCCGTGCTTCTTTAATTTCTTCAAAATGTGATTATATTCTGGCATCAAGCTGGCCAGAAACTAACCCTGTTCTTATTTTACTGAGATGCTCCAGGTAACTAGAAGTGTTGAAACTGAGCAGGGGAATCTTAGTCCCCAAGAGGAGGACACTGTTAATGCTATTGTGGAAGCCAGGTAAATGCATCTGTACCTGTTATGGTGTCATAATTACCCTTTATATATGATTTAAAAATAAGAAACATGAATGTCTCTTAGAACTGAATCAGAAAACTGATTAACATACATTATGGTAGTAGTTGAGTATACACTGGAAGACATGAATAGCAGTTTCAGTTGAAGGCCAATGTTCATAATTCACTGAAATTTAATGCATTATTTGGAATTGCAATTTTTTTGCTTTCTATTGCAGTGAATTTCCCCTGTCAATTATCTTGGTGGGTGTTGGTGATGGGCCATGGGACATGATGCGTCAATTTGACGACAATATCCCTGCTCGTAATTTCGATAATTTCCAGGTCACTGAAAAATACTTTCCCACTAAATCCATTCATTTGACTTTTTTGTTCATCTTTATAAACTTTTTTGTGCAGTTTGTGAATTTTACTGAAATAATGTCAAAGAACATCCCTCCTGCAAGGAAGGAGGCAGAATTTGCGTTAGCAGCCCTAATGGAAATACCATCACAGTACCAGGCCACTTTGGAGCATGGGATATTGGGGTACTATTTCTTCTATTTTTTCCCTTTTTCTTCTTTCTGGGTAGCTTGGGTTTTTGATAGGGCTCTGAACCAATTCATTAATTTGCCTTCAACTGTATGACAAATATAATTAGATGAATGAGCATTTTAAACTAAAACAGGCAAAAAAAAATGACATGGATTAGTTTTGATGCATGTTATAAAATGAGTTTTGGATTTTCCTAAATTAAAGTCTTTCTATGTCTTTGCAGTCGTCCAAAAGGGAAGTCTTATGGCAGGGTTCCTCTCCCACCACCAAGTGTGTCACGTAATTCAGCTTATTTGGGGTCAAATTATTCACGCCCAAGCAGCTTTGATCAAAGTGGTGGTGGTTATCAGAGCTCTGCCCCACCATCTCAACAATGGAATAGTCAGGTAAGAATTACCATGGGCTACTTAGAAAATTTTGAGCTTTACAAATTACTCTGGAATTTAAAGTTCACGGCTTTACTAATTTGACCTGCTTATCTTTATTTTCTCAGAAGTTTACAAATGTATGATTTTGCGCTTAGGCTTGAAACTTAGGTCCCGTTGTTTTGATTTAGAGTTTGCATTAGGAGTGGTTTACAGGATTTAAAGGTTTGTTGGATTCTGTTTGTCCCCAGGATAAATGGCTCTGCGATCATGGATTTAGTGTCACCACTCTTGTATTCATCTAGCTAAAAAAAAAAGGGTAATTTTAAAAGAAACCATTAAGATCCAAATCTTAAATCTTAACTGCAGTTAGAACCAGGTTTATATATTTCAAGCTACACAGTGGAATAATATGTTTTGCGTTACTTATGGTTTCCATATCTCCTCCTCGTGGAATTCAATTTGTCCTTTTGTAGGTTTTGATGATTTCGTCTCCCTCTTGTGAATAAACATGTGAGTAGTTAATTTATACCGATGAAAAATTCTTTATTCTAGTGAAAATGCTTTTTTGTGAATAGATGTGTCCGATGTGTATCTCTAACACCAAAAATCTAGCATTTGGTTGTGGCCATCAGGTAAATGATAAATCCCAATTCCATCTCTCTCTCTCTCTCTCTCTCTCTCTCTCT